AGTGCAAACTGGTACAGCCACTATGGAAAACAGTATGGAGATTCCTGAAAAAGTTAAGAATAGAACTACCATATGATCCAGCTATTCCACTGCTGGGTATTTATCCAAAGAACATGAAAACACGACTGCATAAAAATATTTGCATCCCTATGTTCATTGCAGCGTTATTCACAATAGCCAAGACTTGGAAGTAACCTAAGTGCCCATCAAGGGACGAATGGATAAAGAAGATGTGATATATATACACAATGGAATCCAGGCAACCATAAAAAAAGGATGAAGTCTTTCCATTTGTGACAACATGGATGGACCTTGAGGGTATTATGCTGAATGAAATAAGTCAGAGGGAGAAAGTCAAATACCATATGATCTCACTCATAAATAGAAGATAACAACAAGAACAAACAAACACATAGAGACAGAGATTGGATTGGTGGTTACCAGAGGGGAAGCGGGGAGGAAGAAGGGTGAAAGAGATGACTAGACACATGTGTATGGTGATGGATTGTAATTAGTCTTTGGGTGGTGAATATGATATAATCTACACGGAAATCGAAATATAATGATGTACACCTGAAGTTTATATAATGTTACAAACCAATGTTAGGATAAAAAAAAAAAATAACAACTTCTTATTACTGACTTATGGCCTTGGTTCTCTTTCAAGACCAGGGGTAGGCAGGGAAGGAGATCATCTACAAATTTTTCTCATACTTTTCCATAGGGTACTGGCTGATTAACAACTGGTGGCTGGTATTTTTCAATCAATAAAAATGTAAATAATCAAGATAAGAGAAATTATGATTATTCAAAAAGGAAAATAATTTAAAACATACATTTTAATCCATAGGTCTTCAAATTCAAGAAAAGGTACATAATAGAAATGATTCTTTAAAAAAGAGCTATTAAGAGGATTCCTTTTTGGGAGGTTTAGAACTAACATTTTTGTTATCATTTTTTATTTTCTCTCCAAAAAACCCCAAAACACAATGAGTATGTTGGCTCTTAAAAACCATAAACTCACTCAGTGTATATTAACTCACTCAGTGTATAAACTGAAGGTTTAAAAATCATCAAACAAACAATTATCCAATGGGAAGATAAAATATTTGTAAAAGAAAGCAGTAAAGTCAGATCTGTTTTTCAGGAAGGTCACTCCTGCAGTAGAGAATGGATTCAGGGTAGGCTGGGAGCTGGGAGACTGCTGCAATAAAATCAAGTGAGAGAATGGGAGCCTGAACCAGGGTAGCATCGTTAGGTGTTGAATGGAATCAAGAATTATTAGAATGCAGAATGGATAGGACTTAGTTACTCAATAAAATGTTTTGTGTATATTATGATTTTTGATATATTATATATTTTACAAAAACATGTAAATACAAATTAGAATAATATATTACACAGTTTTATATCATATTTTTTAAATTAACTACAGAGTAAGAACATCTTTCCATGTCAATAAAGAGAATAATGATCCAGCTATTCCACTTCTGGGTATTTATCCAAAGAACATGAAAACACTAATTTGAAAAGATACATGCACCCCTATGTTCATTGCAGCATTATCCACAATAGCCAAGACTTGGAAACAACCTAAGTGCTCATTGACGAATGAATGAACAAAGAAGACGTGGTATATATATATATGCAATGGAATACTACTCAGCCATAAAAAGGATGAAATCTTGCTATTTTCAAAAACATGCTGGAAACTTGGGGGTATCAGGCTATGTGAAATAAGTCTGACAAATACAGACAAATACCATATGATTTCACTCATACGTGGAAGATAAACAAGCAAACAAACAAACACATTGATACAGAGAACAGATTGGTGGTCACCAGAGGGGAAAGGGAGTGGGAGGAGGGTGAAAGGGGTAAAGGGGCACATGTGTACAGTGATGAATGGAAACTAGACTTTTGTTGGTGAATACAATGTAATCTATACAGAAGTTGAAATATGATGATGTATACCTGAAATTTTATAATGTTATAAACCAATGTTACCTCGATAAAAAACTTTTTTAAAAAAGAGAATAAACATGCATTTGCAGCATCTTTTTAAATAGGAAAGCCTATGATTTACATCACATATGAATTTATGTTTAAGCCACTGAACTTGGAAAACGGAATTTCCTTTTACTCTAGGCCAAAATAACACACACATTTAAAAAGATAAGATTATGGAGGTAATAAAATTTCAGAGGGGTAGTTTTTATTAAATGGAAGACTAGGATCTTAGGAAGGTGTTTAAGGGTTCCACAAAAGGTTTGATTTAGATTTCTTTGTTTAAAAAACATTTTTAACCATTAAAAAATTAAACATATCTGAAAGCATTAAATACCAAATTTTAACACATAGATTTCCAATGAATTATTTTATGCAAATTAACTTGTTTTTGCCCTGACTTCAGAAAAAAGGCTTTTCTTGACAAGTCTGTGACATATATATATGAACTTATTAAAAAATATTTCAATGATTAAGAAAGTGGTAGCTCTGAACTTCTTTTTTTGTGTGAATTCTATTTGTGCACGTCTACGAACAAATATAAGTGTGCAATTAAGTTTGTTACACTAACTGATCCCACACATGACATCGCAATTAAATACTAGGCAAAGCTCAGGCAGACTTGCTTGTCATCACATAAAAGTTGAATAACAAGAAGTGAATATGTAACATTTCATATTTTAATAATTATAGACAGTTCAAGTCGCTAAACATGCTCCTCTCGCTCAGTGCCTTTTACTTCAAAATTCTCTACTTAATGTAAGTTTGAGGTTTTATCTCTTTTCTAAAAAGGGTGTTAATAGGCTCAGTTCCCTGGACCCAGACTCTGAGAGGGAGAGATGTAGGGAGGAAGTTTATTAGGATGTACTCTTGGGAACAATATCTGTGGGGGGAAGCGTGAAGGAAGCAGGACTGAGCAGAGGGAGAAGTTGAACTTCACTGAAGTCGAAACACAGGCCTCAGCAGATACTACTGGGAACTCTGAAGCTGGGATGGCCTTTTAGAGGTGTCTTGAATTTAGGCCAAGCCTTTGTACTCACTTATCTATTAGTCATTAGATGTTGGCTGCTCCCAGGGAGCGGTTGTATGTAACCTTGGCTGAGTCAATAAATTTCCAAGTAGGGCAAGGCCAGGGAGGGCCTCCGCTGTGAGCCATTAGCAGCCATCACCCCCAAGCACTGGGAATGAGTACCCCGGGCTAAGGAGTATCTGAGCAGCCCACCACAGCACCCACTAGGGTCTAAAAGTAGTAAACTCTCATTTAAAAATTAGACACAGACAAGGGAGGTTACCTGTGGAACAGAAATAAAGGGGGACCTTCATATTTTGAAATATTGCTTTGTATGGTTTTTTTTTTTTTTTTTTGGTGAGGAAGATTAGCCCTAAGCTAACATTTGTTGCCAATCCTCCTCTTTTTGCTGAGGAAGATTGGCCCTGGGCTAACATCCGTGCCCATCTTCCTCTACTTTATATGTGGGACACCTGCCACAGCATGGCTGGAGAAGTGGTGCTAGGCCCGTGCCCAGGATCTGAACCTGCGAACCCTGGGCTGATGAAGCAGAGCACATGAACTTAACCACTATACCACTGGACCAGCCCCTACTTTGTTTTTTATCTCTTATGAATATGTTTCCTATATGTGTAATGAAAAACATTACAGAAACAGCATAGATATTACCTTTAATATGTAAGATATATCATAATTACATTTCTTGAATAAAATCTCCATATATTATGAATTAGTACTTTCTCATTATAAAATTTCCTCGAAGACACAGAGTTTAAGTGAAAAAGACTATGATAAGCAAGTTTCTTACTTCTTTGTGTTATATATTTCCAATTCTTTTTCTGAAAGGTCCTTTTTCAAGTTCCCCAAATGAAACGGATTTGGAAGAGTAGACTTCTTCTTAGTGACCTGAAAAATACAGTTAAGTAGATCAGTTTATATCTAAGAATGAAATTAAACAGCAGAAATAATGTAAAAACTAAACTCTTCTAAGACAACTACTTACCATTTTGCATTGTTTCCCTTCAATATTTTCGATGCTAACTTGTACCTCTTGGCTTATACTTTGCTAACAATGACCCCAGGGCCGTATCACAGGACATGATAGTTCTCCCTGAAAACCTCCTACCAGAGCCATTACCAAGTTTTGTTACAATTATATGTATGCATACTTGTCTCCTTCTCTAGACTCTGCACTCCTCAAAGGCAGGGGCTGTGTCTTACTCATCTTTGTATCTCCTTTGTATAGTACGGCCCTCGGCTCATAGTAGGTGTTCAATCAACATTTGTTGAATGGCTGAATCTTAGAGATTAATTCAGTTCCTCTTAGGAGCTGTTCCTGGCTTCTTAAATCTATCCAAATTCTCTTAAACTATATTTCCTACCAATTTCACTGACTGGGATAGTGAGTACAGTACCAGTGTGACTACTTCCTAAATACATCCACTTAGGGCTCCCAGAGTGCTCTATTGTTTGGAATTAGGAGATCGAATCTATGGTTATTTATGCCGTGACACTCAGAATCTCATATTTTATTCGTGCCCCTTCTCAGACTCCTCCTTCTTTATGCCTTGTCTGGCATCACCTCCCTCCACCCATGTGACAAGTCCCAAAAATGTTTTGAAAGAGCAGCATCACTAGAATAAGTACAAAGCCTCCCAGGGTGATTATTTTGATAATCATTTGGATGGGTTATTGTATTTTCATGGAAAAAAACATGGAAAAATGATACATAATCTGAAAAATGAACATTCTCTGCTTTATAGTCACATTTTGAATTCTTGAGTATGGAGACTACACCTTCAGAGGTGCAGACAAAAAAAGATCCATAAAAAATAAAATAACACACACACACACACACACACATATATATTTTTAAGTTTCTGATTCTCTTTTTGTTTCTGCTGAACATTTTTTTTTTGTGTGAGGAAGATCAGCCCTGAGCTAACATCCATGCCAATCCTCCTCTTTTATTTGCTGAGGAAGACTGGCCCTGAGCCAACATCCGTGCCCATCTTCCTCCACCTTACGTGGGACGCCGCCACAGCATGGCCTGACAAGCAGTACGTCGGTACGCACCCGGGATCTGAACCCGGGCTGCCTCTGCTGAACATTTTATTGGCTATTTAGTCAGATCAGCACCCTGAATGCCCCACACCTAGGATGTTCTCTGTTAACATTGTGAACAGAGAAGAAAGAGATGAACAGGGAAATCAGGATTAGAGTTTCCCTACTTTTAAGGAGTATCAAATAGATGTCCTGGATGTTAAGGGACTACTGTTTTATGACTTGATATTTCTTTCTCTTTTTGGTTCTAAATCATTGGTTTGCTAACAGTGACTAAAACAACCACCAGTTCAAATGAAGAATGATCTGCCATTAAAAATTCTCTTGCAATTATAAAATAAGATCTGGAAAGACAGCTTAGCTCCCAGAATGTACACACTTGAAAGAACACATACCTTAAGCAACGCCCCACCTTCTTCTGAACCATCAGAGCCCTGAGAGTCTCTTTGTTTCCGTACTGCATCCAGTGTAGCGTAGGTGCTCAGGCCAACACCTTCTCCACCTTCACAACCACTGTCAGATCCTCCACTGTTTCGGGAAGGACTGGGCTTACGTGTCTTGAAGGAATAGTCACCAAAAAGAGTTCTTCTGCATGTTGGAGAGGTTGCTACTTTGGAAGTAGCTTGGAGCATACTGAGGATAGGTGAGGTTGTCAAACTATCTAATTTTTCATGTGATCCAGCAAGGAACCAGTCAGCACAAGACAAACAGGGGCTTGGAGAAGATGCTAGCCGTTCATTTATGCGGGAATCTACTCCTTCCAGCTGGTGAAGAGCTGTTTTGACCTGATCCACATATATACAGTCTGGTCCAGGATTCCCAACAGCTTTGGATGCACAGCCTCCAGCTTCTAATAGTACACATAACATATAATGTCTCTACAATAAAAAAATTATTAATATAGGTTTAGCTACATGAAAATATTTATATATAATATGCATGTAAAAATTTATGAATACTAAAGACATGGCATAATCATGTGATGGTTATTAAAAACTCCTTGCTCCCCTTTCCCTCTTAGTTATTCTCAATGCTTCTTGATCACCCTTGAAAACAAATCTCATATTGCCCTATTCTGATGTACCATCACCCACTACTTTTGGCACATGGCATTTTTTAAGGTAGATTTCAAAGAGCCTCAATTATTGGAAGTCCTTTCATTTACAATCACACATTTATTCTGATTCTAGATTCTTTTCATGTCCCCCTCTATTTCCCAAAACAAACCAGAGGATAAAACCACTATAGAAATGGGAACAAAAGATCTTAAGAACCTGCTAAAATCTTATCTGGGTTTAATTAATATTTCCCCACAAGTATTAAATGGATACAAAAGAAAAGGAATAAGGGACATATAACATTTTCTTGAATACTGGTATTTGACATGATCATAATTTTAAATTATCATGTTTGTTTGTGTATTTACTTAGTAAATGGCAAAAGGAAAAAAAGAATCCCAAGAAAGAGGCCAAGGCAAACTTACCAAGCCAACAATTAACAAAAAATATCTCCCTTCAGGTTCCTGAAAGACTTCAGTGTTTGAGTCTGTAGAAGGCTGGAGGTGATGACAAGGAAATACTTCTCTCCATATTACCAACTGACCAATTCTTTGTTTTGCTGCTAATGGCAGCAGGCAATAGTGGCGACAGTACACAGTAATGTCAATAAGATCATCCTTAGGTAAATGACTGCATACCAAATAACCCTTGAATTCAATTACAAAGAACAAAAGTCAACTAGTGATATAAGGCAATTATCGCATAATATATTTCTAAGAATTTTATAGGTACTTATTCAAATATAATAAATGAAGACATAGTAAAAATAAATGTTTTTTTCCTGAGGTCAGCTAGAGATCAAATATTTATGATAACTTAAGTCAACAACAGATAGACTTTGGCACAAAGCAAGATCACCTCTGAGCAGTATAAGCCTGGGGGTTTGGCAAAGTTAGAAAAGAAGTGAAGATGGAAAGTGGAGAAGCAGCAGCCGAGGTGGGAGAGACTTACTTTTCACTGTGTACCAGTCTGTATTGTCCGATTCCTTTCTAGATATGTTTTAAAATCTTTTTGAAAAATGAAAATACTTAAATTCATTTGATGCTTAATTTGCTTTGCATGGAAGTCAACTACTTAATGTCAGAAGATTTACTAAAAAGATGCATGAATGTAAGAAAAAACCACACTACTGTAAAGCAAATCAAGAAAGTATTGCTCTTCTTTCTTACAACTTAGTTCCTTGAGTATTATTTCTCTTTTACACGTTTGCAAATGCTTTATAATGTAATGAAACCAGAAATATTTATTGTATTTGTAAATATGTAGGTCCAAGTCTTGTTTTACGATCTTAATTTTAGGGTACCTACAATCAGAGGAAAAGAGATAAATGTATTTTTCATGTTTGTAAACGTTTGAGAAAATTTACTTTAGGTATGTTCATATAGCAGCTGGACATTTATAAAAAATTTCAAGTTTCAACTTACCTTGTAAAATAGAGAAGATCCTAAAATTGTATACAGCCGCCTCATGTCATAGTAATCCTCAGACTGGGGGAAAAAACCACAGTGGATTTATATTTTTTGTTTTATAACGATAAAATCCTAGTTAAGCTACAACAGTTAAAATGGCAATTCTCTTCTTTAGTAACTGAACTTTTCATTGTGCCATATTTAGAAATCAATACAGGGGATTAGGGTGAAAGATAATTTGTGTACATATTTATTTTTGATTGATAACAATCTTATTTTTTATTCTTATAAGATACTCTTGATTAGAGACATCTAAGAATAGAACATAAGATTTGTTACCCCAAGAGGGATTAAAATAAATCTATCAAGACAAAAAGCTTCTACTATATAGCATCTAAAATATCTAATATTACCATATACTATTTTTGAAAGTACAAATTGGTACAACCTACTTGGGGACAACTGAGTCGTATGTAAAAACATTAAATACACATACCCTTTGAGTAATTCCACTTCTAGAAATCTACAGAAATACTCAAACAAGAGAATCAAGATTTTTGTATAAAAGGTTAACAGTAGAATTATTTGTAATATGCAAAAATTGGAGATAAAGTGAAGTTCAACAATGGAGGAATGGTTGACTAAATTAGGTATGTCCATACCACAGGACATCATACAGCTGTTAAAAAAATAAGATTGATCTATATGAGCAGGCACAAAAGTTTTTAGGATATACTGTTCTTTCTTTTTAGGATATACTGCTCAGGAAAGAATGCAAGCTACAGCACAAAATATTCACTATGGTCTAATTTTTGTTAAAAATAGCACCCCAATGATATACATATATGTATATACATGTGTGTTGGGTTGTATGCAGGTATGTATGTGTAGAGAAAAGGTCTGGAAGAATATGTTCTAAACTGTAAGAGCAGTCACAACTGGGGATGGAAACAAGGGAGAGGGATGAGAAGGGAGGAAATTTGTTTTTAATAACCCATGCTTGCATTTTTACCCAATATGCCTGCATTACTTTTATAATTAAAAAAAAAAACACAATGAAACCTAAAGAAAATTAAAAATTGGAAGTAATCTAAATATCCCTCAATTGGGGAATGGATAAACACTGTGATACATTCATACAATGGAAAACTACTCAGCAACAAAAAGGACTGAACTACTGATGTATATAATGACATGACTGAATCTCAAATGCATTACACTAAGTAAAAGAAGTCAGAACCCAAAATTTACCTATTGTATGATTCAATTTATATGACATTCCAGAAAAGGTAAAAACCAAGGGGACAGAAAACAGGTCAGTGGTTGCCAGGGGCTACGGGAAGGGAGAGGGGTTGACCATAAAGGGGCACAGAAGAATTCACTGAATATACCTTAATAACAATTTTTAAAAAACCAAAGAAAGAACACAAAGTTAGGATATAAGATTAAATCTTCAATTTAATTTGACAAAAAGTTTAGAATAGGTCCTTATTTTCATTTTTTTTTATTAAGATAAAATTCACTGAATTGTTCTGCAAGTTTTGGCAAAGATATATAGCTGTGTAAGTGCCACCAAAAGCAAGGTATAGAGCAGTTCCATCAATACCTTCCACCAGATTTTCTTGCTGAGTAGTATTCCATTGCATGAGCATATCAAAATTTGTTTATCTATTCACCTGTTGATGGACACTTGAGTTATCTGAATTGTTTCCAATTTTTGTCTATTACAAATAAAACTGCTATGAACATTTGTGTACAGGATTTCATTTCTCTTGGGTAAATAGATAGGAATAGAACATTGAATCATATGGTAGGTGTATATTTAGGTTATTAAGAAACTGCCATACTATTTTCCAAAATACTTGTACCATTTTACATTCTCAATTTATCAATTTTTTCTTTTATGGATTGTGTTTTGATGCTGTAACCAAGTAATCTCAATCAATCCTTTTCTAACCACAGAAAATATTGTTAGTTCCACTGCTCACTAAAATGATATTCTATAAAGGCAGGAAAAAATGATATTCTATAAAGGCAAGAATTAGAATTTTAATTAAATCTATCAAATATAAGTTCCTAAAACACAGATATTTTAATACTTTAGAGCTAAACTGCTCATAATGATTAGTATCTATCTACACATTCTCCGTCAGTGAAAAACTTATGACCTTCAAAGAATTCACTATGCTTAAATTTCCATTATCTTACAAACACAATACTCTTCCATTTGCTCAGGATCTTAGTTAAGACTGTCACCCTTCAAGCTAACATCCTCTCCCCACTTTCACCAGCAATCTTCTTGAGAATGATCCAACTCTCACTGCTTCTACTTCCTCACTTTCCATTTACTTTTTAAAAGAACTTTTTTTTTTTTGTGAGGAAGATCAGCCCTGAGCTAACATCCATGCTAATCCTCCTCTTTTTGCTGAGGACGACTGGCTCTGAGCTAACATCTATTGCCAATCCTCCTCCTTTTCTCCCCCAAAGCCCCAGTAGATAGTTGTATGTCATAGTTGCACATTCTTCTAGTTGCTGTATGTGGGACGCTGCCTCAGCATGGCCGGAGAAGCGGTGCGTCGGTGCATGCCCGGGATCCGAACCCGGGCCGCCAGTAGCAGAGTGCGCGCACTTAACCGCTAAGCCACGGGGCCGGCCCCCTAAAAGAACTTTTATTACTGAAAATTTTAGCATATACAAAAGTAGAATACTATAATTAGTTCCTATGTACCCATCATCACCCAGCTTCAATTATGACTAGCACACGGCTAATCTTGGTTCATCTATATCCCTCTCTCCTTCTTCCCTCTCCCTGGTGTACTATGTCAAATTCAATCATTTCATCCATAAATACTTCAGAATGTATCTCTAAAACAGAGGGACTTAAAAAATATATATAACCATAATACCATTACCACATCTAAAGAATTATTCTCATCTAATATCAGTCACCAGCAATTACATTGCCTTGAATGTCTCAAAGATGTTTTTAAAAATTTTGTTTGTTTGAATCAGGATCCAAATAAGGTCCATATATTGCAATTGGTTGATATGTTTCTTAAGTCTCTTGTAAATGACACGTTCTCTCTCAACTTCTCCACCCTCCCGCCCCCCTCCCAATTTATTTGTTGAAGAGACTGTCCTGTAGTGTTTCCCAGTCTGGATTTTGCTGATTGCAATCCTTCTCCCCCAAATGGGGTATTTAACATGTTGGTTTCCCCCTGGTATTTCCTGTAAATTGGTAGTTAGATTCTGAGGCCTGATTAAGTATATATCATAGGGATCTGAACCCAGGCCGCCAGTAGCGGAGCGCGTGCACTTAACCACTAAGCCACGGGGCTGGCCCAGAAACATTATTTATATACCATGGCCTGGGTACTAGTGGTGCTCATCACTACTAGGATAGTCACTATTTCTAGGCCTTTTCACTGGACAGAGCTAGGAAATATATGTTTTTTAAAAGGTTAAAAACCATACTGATACTTCCAATTTAAATTCAGATCTATATAGTCTTTACCTAATTTAATCAATATTACATATATGTCCTTTTTCTCAAAGCCCAGTTCTTAATGATACAAATGCAATTAATCATTACATATACATTATGTAACAAATATTTTTAATGGAGTAGAAAATCTTAAGGCAAGCAAAATAGATTCTGTCCGTGTCAAAATAGAGACCTAATGTTATGTATTTCAAGACTATTACATAGCTGCTTGGAAAATATTTAGAATAATGACGGATTTACAAAATAAGAAATCAACACTGAGCCTTTCCTAAAATCCACTGCTTTTCTTACCAGTTCTGCAAAATCTGCGGCCTCCAAGTCACTCAATGCCGTGTCTAATTCCATCTACGTGGAAAAGAAAAAAAAGAGTAACACAAACATTTAACTCATATTAGTTACTTTTTAGTAATGGCCATTTAAGTGCTTAATAATTATTTGAAGAATTGAATAAGTATCTTTCTCCTTTGTGTTATTTAAGAAAGGTCCCAAAACGGAACATCTTGTTTTTAAGCTCTGCAATTACAAAAAAAAATTAACTTACTTAACATATAGGCATTTTTCAATTAAATCTTAATTTAAGTTAGAAAATTTTTTAACCTATTAAAATTCTTAAAGGAAAAAAGTCAATCTTAATGTAGTTAATCTATTTTGAGCTGTTTTTCTATTTCCTTTATATTTCTCAACAGTTGGATTCTTGGAAAATATCAACATTCTTCCCTGTCTCTCTCTGACGTTTTATATAAAAGGACTGTTAAAATCTTTATTCATGGATTAAAACATGAAGGCAAGTGTTCCCCTGGAATCTGGCACAGTTTAACTACCCTACAGAGTTATTAGAAAAATCTCTTACTTAGGATTTAGCTTTTGTTTCTATGGAAATTGTCTGAACTCTTTCATGTATTTGTTCTTCCCTGAAGCATTCAAAATTTAAAAACAGAATAAATTTAATCTGCAGTTTAATCTATAATGCATTCATATAAATTGAAAACTATTCGCAATTGAAGCTTGCAGCATATATGTTACTCGTGAAAAAGAATCCTTTTCTTTTTTTTAAGGCCAAGGCACTCTCTGTAGGACTGTTTCACAAACTGTGTCTTACTGAGATGACAAAAGCTTTGGGAACATTAGTCATGCCTTTCAATGCTTTTCACACGGTATGACTTATTACTCATTTGTGACCCACATTTTTCTGTGTCTAGCAAATACTTCATGTTCTCCTTTGTGTGGCTATAGTTTCTCTTGTGAAAAATTACCAGACAAAAAGAAAATTACCCACTTGTGATTTCTGATCTCAGAAACGTTAATGTTTAAACGGTTGCTACTCCTGCTACCGAACTCCATAGGCTAATGTACAAGGTTACTATAATGGTTTCTTCATACTCCTTAAGAGAAAAGGTAAAGTATCTTTTCTCTTAACTACTCCTGTGTACCTTAGGAAAACTGATAAAAAAAGAACATCTGCAAACAAATAAATAAAATAAGGAAATTCTCAAACATCTAGGAAAGAAAACTGAAGTGAGACTCCATCATATACTAAATTCAGAACAAGTAAGTTTTTTTTCCAAGTTTAAAATAACTATTTCTACCTAAATTTTATCACCCACAAGTTACCTCACAGCCATGTGTTTTTAACTGGATTTCTTCAGGCATAAAATTCCTTAGTATTTTCCATTAGAAGATATATAGTCAATAAACCCTACTATTTTTAACACAGTAAGAAATCTCAGAGAACAAGAAAGTATTTAAGTTCTTTGAGTTTGCTGGTAAAACAAAAACAAAAACTTCAAGGGTTACGTTTTTCAAACTTCGCATTCATCAGAGACATTTAGATCACTTTATCAGAAGCTATCTCTCTCCAAAAATATTGTTCTCAAATCTCTCAACCAGAGTACAAAATATAGAAAACATCTAAGCTATATCCTCATTGTTTCCTGTGTATTAATTTCATCTACCCAACTAAACTGTGAACACCCGAGGACTCTTCTGGATTCCCCGAAGAAGAAATTTCTTCTTCTGCTTTCTTTCTTCTTTCTGCTATCTGGATTCCCGGATAGCAGAAATCTGAGGACCTGGCACAGGCTCATCTCCATACAGTAGTGTTAGACTTGAGGATAAAAGCAACCAAAGCTTTGGTGAGATAAACTGCAGGTATGATTTGAGGCAACGAATTAAAAAAACATACACCAGAATTCACACAGTGATTTCTCAGTTTGATATTCTTTTAGGTTGAAACAAATAAAAGCATACGGTCCTTTTAATCAAATGTATGCTAAATTAAGAAAAAAATGCCAATAAAAAAGAAATCTGAATACAGGAGGTAGCCTTCACATGGAATTTATAAGACCAAAATAAGCTATATTTTAAAATGTCTTAAATTTCTCAGAGGGAAGAAAATATTTAAAGTATCCAAAGTCTAAAGACATTGCCCCTAAAGACATTAAGTACCTCTACTCTCACACAAAGAAGAGACTACGTATTTTGAGGGAAGAGATTTCTTTAGTGAAGAGACTCTGAGACAGGGGAAGGAACCTGGGCAACTGCAAGACCAGAATGGCAGGACTCATGGGTGGCACCTTCTGATTCATGAAATTGGCTTGTGTCTTCTAGGAGAAAAAAGATTCCTGAATGGGCATGAGACAGACTTTCGAGGCAGGGTCTTTCTCTCTTAAAGGTAAAGTTATATATTACTTTCTGTTTATATTGAACACTTATGATTTCTTATGAAAACACTGGTGGGAGTAGAATTATATATATCATACTTTTTACTTTTTACATGATTTTGGAAAATGATCATCATTGGCCTGAGATATCAAAAGATCCAGCAGCAGGCAGTTGACAAAGTCAAGGACAAAATAAAAATGCCAGAAGGTAGTTTCCTTTAAACATGCTCTAACTCTTCAATTCATTCTAAAGAACAATTATACAATAATACTCTCACAACTATAACTACACTATGCCAGGCATGATTCTAAACACTTTACATATAATAACTCATAACTCCCCTATGTAGTAGGTACTATTATTGTGCCCATTTTACAGATGAGGAAGCTGAGCAAAGTCACTGATACATCGGTTTAAATTATTATTAAACTGTCAAAAAGGCATTTATTTGATCATACATTGAAGAATTTCATGAAGAGTAGAATCTCAAATTGGGCTTTTACTACAACATATTCATACGCAGGGAACTGGCTATGGCATAGTGCCTCATTTAATACTAATACAAATGCTGTGGCTATTGTATTAGATTATTGGTGATGAAAATGTCTGAAATGATCTTTTCAATCATTCAACAGTAAAGTTATTCTGGGTCTAGAGATATGACTAAAATTACATTGATAATACTTAACCATCATGAAGTCTTACCCTTGGTCAGCTATCTATGGGACAAAGCAAAAGCAAATTACATATGTTCACATAAAGATTTTGCTATTTTTAGTGGAGTTTATATTTTAGCTAAGAACATTGTTAGCCAATCATTTCATCTACCTTTAATCTATAAAGAAACTCTAACACAAAACCTTGCATTATAAAATCAAAGTCACAAAATTCAGAAGTAAGACACATCACATAATTATGATTTCTGAAAAGAATTCTAAGTTTGGACAAAGCTTAAATATTAAAGTAAGATGAGAGAGTTAATTTCTATTTGGAAAGAATAATTTGTCTTTCTAAGTTCACTGCACTAGGCCTCCTACTTCTTCAACCAATTGCCTCTTTAACTCTTACCCACAATCCAGAAAATAACAAAAAAAAAAAAAA